ACATCCCTTGACATTTCGAATATTTGCAATGGAAACACCAAAACTCCAATTGTCATCGTCTCTAAAATACTAAATACTAAATTTTACTTTTTATGTGATTTTAGAGCGAAAAGACGCGCCACAGATTTCTGTGCCAACCAAATTGTGAAAAAAACATCGAAAAAAAAGTGAAAATTAAGATTTCCATTTTTTATTAAGGTTATATTATAAATTGAATAATTTTCATCGAAAATTTAAGGTGAATATATGTACTGTGCTCCATTTTTTATGTATTTTCATAATGTAAAAAGAATTCCAAACAAATCATGAACTGAATTTTTTTTCAATGCCCTTCTAAACGTCAACAATTTTGTAGGTTGGACACTTTTTTCTTTGTAGGTTGGATACCTATTTTTTTTTCATTTTTCACGATACGACGCAATTGTTTATGATTTTTTGTTCGGAATTCTTATTAAGTGAAATAAAAAATGTTTTTATTGCATTTTAATTTTAATGAAATTTTCGGTGATTTTTTTTCCAAATTGACTTCAAAGTTAGGGTTAGATTAGGTTAGGTAATGATTTGCTCAAAAAAAATGCCTGACAAACTCACCAAAAATAACTCCATAAAGTGCCATGCAATATAATCGTTCACGCAAAATGTGCCGATATACGTTATAGTGTTTACCTAAATTGCGATTCCGATATGGACTAATATCAATATGATGTCATTTCATTAAAATTTTCATTCCAATTTTTATTAATTTTTCCTCTTCAAAGCCTTTCATTCAAATTTTCATTTTTTTATGTTCAAATCAACTGAGACCAATTAATAAATTGAAGAAATTTTATAAATTTTGTAAACACTGTGTTTTTACTTGAATTTTTGTGCATTTTTAGCGTTTTTTGGGGGGGTGTCTAACTTACATTAAAAAATTTGAGGGGATCGTTTTTGAGCCCTTTTTGAATTGGCTATAAAAAAATCCACTAAACCCAATGATTTTTTTGTCCACAATGTAGCTATTAACCTCAGCTTTCAGATATACACAGTATCTTGATATCAACGATATATTGATTCTCATCTGAGTATGAGTAAAAATGCTAAGGGTGTCCAACCTACAAAGAATTCCCCTATTAGTTAGTTGTTACTAGATAAGAGCTCTCAGGGGAAAGAAAGATTATAGAATTAAATGCGGGGTTGTAGAATCACGATATATCATAATATAGTTAATGCATTTTAGAAGCAATCAAAAAAATACTCTTTGACAGTCTACTTATACGTGATTACTAATCATTATTTATAATCAGTATTTATTGCATTATTATAAAAGCTGCATTCTAATTTTGCAGGTAGCAGAGTTTTACAAATGTGTATTCTTTACGCAATTTCAAAAAAATATATATATTGATTTTATAACTTCAGCGTCTAACTTGGAGGTCTTAAAATATGCATATAAATGAATTTGACTTTCAAATTATATAATCGAATTAAATTTATAGTGAAATATGTATTATATATATATATATATTTT